CTCTCTCGCTATCGATTCCTATTACTTCGATCTTGCTCAGCTCGCGGACCAGGCGAGAGTTTCTCTTTTGGAGAATTCCCAAGAGGGCGAGTTGATTCGTCGTCGTCCAAGCGGTGCAAGCGGAATCATTACGAGACTTAGGGCATAAAGGTTCTAAGAGATAGGGCCCCAGAGGGTATTTACAGGCGATAGCTGTTTGAGAAGTGCTCGAGGTGTTTATAAAGTCCCATCAAACCCTCCGGAGGAAACCGCTCGACCGCGGTGTCAATCATAGTTGTGGAGCCGTGGAGGAGCGAACCCACGTGTCCATGCAACTTCCGTGACGAGATAAGAGCTGAACAGTGTTATGCTGACTTCATAATACATAACGTCTCCCTAGAGTATAGAGTCTTTGGAGAAAGCAATGAGTCAATTTTTCCACGGCGGAAATTTAATTAAAGATAAACTTTTCTTGCATTTTCCATATCTCGAATTTGGACGTTAAATATTTCAATGAATTATGTAAAAAAAATAAGAGAAGGGACGAAGAGAAAACTTAAATTTCAAGATAAATAGATTAAATTCCCATCCCGCCCTTTCCCAGCGATGCTTTCCTTAAAAAAATTAAAGTCTATTATTTTTTCGGCAGTGATTTAAATAAAAGATTCCTCTAGAATTTGTATTTGTATTTTTATATTTAAGCATTCCGCTAATTACGCAATAAATTAATTTTAAAATTTATGAGTCATAAACTTCATGCTTTATGACCTATGAAATTGTAAGAGTAATTTCTAAGAGTAGATAACTACTTTGCAACTCTCGATTATCTCTACGACTCTGTGAAAGTGCATCGTCCTGAACAAAGTAAGAACGTTCGGCTTTAACACTCACTTTTCATCGCGTGACTAACTACAGTCGCGACATGCGATTCTGCGGCTGTTAACCAGGGGAAGCTGTCGACTTCTAAGCTTTACCTTCGTTCGTGAAAAAGGAGAAGCTGAGTAGGGCGATTTAATCCCCAACCGTTGTGTTTGTTAAACGTGGGAATCAGAAATGATGAAAACAGCCCTTTTGTATATCGTTGCATATTTACATATATTCCAACCAAGAGACAAAGACTTAAAATATTTATGCCTCACGTCACAAAAATTCCACTTCGACTAATAAAAATATTAAAGTTGAAAAGCATATTCTCTCTTTTTCATCGCTCATCTTCATAACAAGCGAGACACAAAGTTACGAAGCCACTAAAAGGATAATAAGCAAAAACAACCTTCTTGAAACTTTCTGAAACAGCCAACAGTGCTTGGATTAGATTACCTCGTATCCTTAGTAGTTACTTAATACTTTCCGACTTGTTTCCTCGCCTGCAATATTACCATTTGTCTACATTATCCTACTACGCACTTCGTCTCCTCGCGGACGGGGTGATGCGAGATATCATGGATGGTGTGAACGAACGAAATGTTCGCGACATAAAGGGGGGGGGATAACACGGTTGATGAAAACAGATCAAACATTGAATCGGAAAAGAGAACAAACGGCAAGCGGGCGGGATGAGCAGGAACGATGTAAACCGTGAGCAAACACGCTTCCTGACATCGCTCATGCCGCTCGAGATCTTCGAGGTGGATACATAGAATACGCGGAACACGTGATTGTGTGAAAAAAGAGAACGACTCGATTTCAATAGCTCGTGCGCGCGAGGAGGGTCGTTTCTGTGAAACACAGCCCCCGGTGTGAACGCCTCTTTTCTATACTTCGCATTTTTGCCTTCACTCCACCGAGCCCATTTTCACCAACGCTTTTTTGATTCACGTTCGCGGGATTAGCAGAGTTGCTTGCGAGTTGGTTATTTAAGTTAATAAAAGGTATTAAGGTACGATGTATTTCTTTCAAAAATAAAAGAGAATTCGTTATTTGCGGAGCAGCGTGATAGATATAAATCGTTATGTAAAATAATGTTAATTGTAAATACCCGACAAGAATGTCATTTAAAGTAGGAGATTTTATCTTTTAAAACTGCAAAAAGATATACTAGATTCGGAATGACACTGCTTCTTTTATTTGTGTAAAATTATTCAAACAAAATCAAGTCTGGATTAAAATGTAACTTGAAATAATGCAGAGAGACTTATTGCTTAAATAATTTTTGTATATTTTTGTAAAAATTGTACAAGATGTAAGTTGTTTCAATTAACATTAATTTTAATTTGACATTAATTTGAACGACAAATTTTTAATCAGAAAAATATCTTAAATACTTTAAACCAAAAATATAAAAATTAATAATTATTTATGTAAATTTCGTAAAAAATTTCATTATTTAAATACAAAATTTTATTAAATTTTAATTTCAAATGTTCCGCTTAAAACAAATAAAAATATATATTTTTATTATCAATTTGATATCTAAAGCTTGATTATATTACACGATTCTCTCTTTTCAACCGTTTCATAATTTACAAAATTGTTAGCATGTTTCTCTAAATATTTGTCACAAAAACTATAATTAAAATATTCATAAATTGTAACTGAGTGTATTTTTGTAACTTACAAGATATACTACCATATGGAAATAATATAAATGAATGAAATTGATATGTACGATCAATAATGAAATAGAAAAGCAGTGGTCCGCAGTCCGCGCGAGAAAGTTTGGACCTACGACGGCAGGAGAGAGAGAGAGAGAGAGAGAGAGAGAGAGAGAGAGAGAGATCGTTCATCCGAGCGGAAGTGCACGCCGGGTTCTTCGCGAGGTGGTGCCCCGGCGATACGAGTAACGTCAGTTGACAATATGCAGAGCGCAAGGAGGAGCGTGGGTCGTCACGCGAAGGTCGCGGTGCCCGAAAATCCATAACCATTCCCATTACGAGGTTGCGCTTGCGCGAGAACCACTCTTCTCTCGTCCTGAAGAAACACTAATAGCCCGTCCGAGTCACATCAAGATTTTTGAGTGATTAGACGGGGAGATCTACACGGTTTTCAGAAAACTGCAACGCATTTTTATAATTATGCACAAATTTCAATAATAATAATAATCAATGTATGTAATACTTAAATGCAATTCGAAACGTTTAAATAATTAATGATTTAAAAGTACTAATTTCCAAATGTAATATTGTAAAATCAATAGAAATGATTAAGATAATGTCAACAAGATGTCTTTAGTTATATATTACTTTTACAATAACAATATTTATGATAAAATCTTAGAAACTAGTATCAACTTATTAAATTTGTACATTATAATATTACTATAATATTATTATGATAATATAATTAGTTATTATTTTATCATCAGAAGATCTGATATCTCTCAAACATAAGTTAATTATAACAATAAAATGAATATAATTCTTGTACAATCATAATTATATAATTTTAATCTCCATTATAAAATACGCTTTTAGAGAGATTTTAGTACTTATAATAATAAAGAAAAGTACTATATGCAATTTTTAATAAAAATAATTATTATTTATTATTATGTAGCAATCAAATTTCCTGAAAATTACAATCTTTTATTAATGACTATTTAAATTAATCACAGCCATCATTAATTCTTAAAATAAATTTGTTGGAGAATATTTCAATGTTATACATATCCTGATTGATTCTAATTCAATTAACGATTTTCCGACATTATCTCCAACCAAACCTCTTCATAATTAATTAATAAAAAGCGTTTGAAAAAATTGTAATAGAACTTTCTATCGATCTAGCGCAGATATATCGACGTAGAAAAATAAACTTCGTAGTCGCTGATTCGATCAACGCAATTGTGTTAGCTAATTAGGAACGACCGCGTGTGACAAAGGCCAAGCTCCACTCGACATAGTCTAAAAAAAAACGAAAAGTGGGATATAAAAGAGGAATAGTAATTCAATTAAAAGGTAGGAGAACGCGTTTTCACGGACTGTCTGAGAATTCCGGATTGTCTTTGTTTTTATCAGCTTGATTAGTTCTATTAATTAAGAAACGGACCGAGACATCTTGCAGAACAAACGGTTTCGTTAATTATTCTAACGTATGAAATTAATCCGTTATAAAAGTTTCATAGTCGCAATTATTGCACGTTGGAAAAAATATTTCAATATTCAAATAACGTAAAATTGTTGCAAAAAATAAAGAATTAATTTTTAGTCACAATTTTTAGTAATATAAATGAGTTTATATTCAATACCTCTGCATTTTTTCGAAAAAATATTAACAAATAATTATTACAAGATAGAAAAGTCAGAAAAAAATAATAGTCAAGATAAAAAATAATTCGCGAAATACAAATTTCACACAAAATATAAGTTTATATTCGATACTTAAAAAATTATCCTTCATAAAAATTAAAAAAAAAATTAAAGATTATAAAGTCGAAAAGATCTCAACGAAATGCCGATTTGAAAACAATGATCGATGACTTCTCCAGGATTCGCTCTCCTCGGGAAGTTTGCGCTCGCGTGATAATGATCGATAATGTCAAGATGCATATACATTGTTCATTACTGGGGATGTAAGCTAGGGCTTTAATTACAGGCTCGACAGGCACGTCCGAAGTGTCACCGCGAGATCTTTCGCTTCTAATAATCCCCGTCAGTTGGCAATTAATTACTTGCAAAATGATAACATCTCATCTTGGAGCATTGTCCGCAACTTCGATAATAATCTATTCGCTGACGTACTCGAGATCGGTCTTTATATTGATTGACAACCCTTAACGAAGATATTGATTTTCAAGCTATAGAATTTTAATCATTTTTTTCTTGCTTATTTATCCATAAGAGTGTGTCATATTATAGCAAATAAACATATAAATGTAGTTATACTTTTTTCAGTTTAGATTAATATATATATATATATATATATATATATATATTTTATTAATCTTATTTTAGTAATATCGTTATTCGTTATTTAATTTCAAGCATCATCGATCGTTCCCTTAATACATCTTACGATATAATTGCGTAATTGATACGATCGCTAATAAGAATTTCTCAAGCTTGGCAAAAAAGAAAACTCACCGATTCAGGATGCCACGAAGGATCCCATATTCCTCCCTTCCGTTGATCCCTGCAACAGATATTCGGACATCAGTCAGTGGAATTAATGAGATACTTGAGGTGAACAAATGCCGAAATCGAATAATTACAAGAGGTCTGAGGGAAAATGACGAGAATCCACTCCTTTGTTCTCCAGCGTGAAGATCGCGATCAAACGAGAGAACGAACGAGGAAAAGCTCTAATGAGAATCATTCGAGAACAACACAATCCCTTCGCAGGGCCGAATCGACGTATTTTATAGCATGTAATAAAATTGTTAAAATATCTTTCTAACAAAACATATTTTTATAATTATTATCAAAATTCCATAAAAATATTTGTACCCATTAATTTTTACAGTTAAATCACATTACATTAATATTAAGACACTTTTAAATTTTAATATTTTGCAAAATAATGTAAATAGAAAATTTGGTATTTTATTTATTTTCAATTATTATTTAAATTCGTCATAATATTTGCTTTTAACTTACTCTGAGAATATACGAGCCATGATATATCGTGTGGATATTCTGAGTATACATTTTGAGTATACTGAGTGGACATTTTGAGAATATACGATAAATGACACATTATGTAAATGTTCTGAGTATATCCTAAGCATATACGGACAATACTATGCTATGTTGATATTCTGAGTACATCCTGAGAAAATACGATAAGTGAAATATCCCATATATATGTTCTGAATATATCCTCAGAATGTACAATTATAATATATCTCACAGATATTATACATATAAAAATATGTGTCCCTTATTTTGATTTAAAATATAAAAGATAATAAAATATTAAAAGCTTATCAAATCGAAAGGGGACTTTCGCAATCGTTTCTTTGTTAGTTATCAATAAGTTCAGCATTTCAAGACATTTTTTATGACATAATATAAAATTTAATAGAAAGCCAATATTAATTAACAACGGATCTTCCGCAAAATTGTTCAAAAAAATTTTTAATTTATAAAAACAAAAAATGTAATCGTGGATTATACTTTTTCATTCAGCAATGCAAACAATTTTCAATTTTATTTTTATCGAACAAAGTGTACAACGTGATCCGTAAACTAAAAATCCGATAGAGTTTGCATTTGAACATGAGACGTATACAGAAATCCGAGTGACAAAATCCGACCCTGTTCCGTTTCCACCCTGACTTTTTGTCTGACTTTCGCAAATCCGCGGGGGGTCGCGGTTGTTTTCACGGGCGCGGTTTCCTCTCCGCATTTTCGATTCCACGAATGAACGAATGACTCCATCGGGAGAAGCAGAATGGCCCCGAAGAGCCCTTCTTCGCCCTACGGCCCTCGAGCGATGTCGGCGTCGCGATGCATCGTCTAATTGAAAACGACGTCCCGAGACGCGCAGGAACGAGGGTGAAAGCGCGAACGCGCGAGGAATGTCGAGGTCTTCCTGAAAGGACGAGGGACTTGGAATAAAAAGGGAGTATCTTTCGGTAAAACGGCATATCGAGCAAATTGAGTTCGACGCTTCCCTTTCTCCTACCCTGTATCGCCGCTACCCTCTTGTTTGATATTTGATCAATTATGAAAATTGAACGTACACACTCCGTCGAACGTTTTCAACGATCCGAGGAAGGTTACCTTCGTTACGTTAACGAAATAAGGAAAGGTTGACTTTTTCGCCAGTCAGGATTAACAAATCCATAGCAATTCTCGTTCAATTTCAAGTGGATTTCTATCTAGAGTGACTCTTATCAAAAAATAATATAACGGCAATTTTTTCCTCCATTGTTATAACTCTGAAAAAAAACTGAGAGAAAATTATATTCCAATTTTCCAAACGAACATACTATCTTTTCTATACTATTATTTTTTTCTATTTTTTTTAGAAATACGTATTACTATGAATATAAAAAAGTGAACACACAAACCCGCAAGCATTTAATTTGTTTCGTTTGATTTCTATCATGTCAATATGTTGTTATCTAAAAATAATATTTTTCCGTGATGTTTCGTGGAATAAAATGTGAACTTCAACTATCAGTAGTTCAACTATCAATAGTTCAACTATCAGTAGTTCAACTATCAAGTTCTTAAAGGTACGTAGATTAAGGTGTACGTAAATTAACCGTGCAGACGACGTTTCGATAAGATGGCGCAGCGGTAATTAATGGTAAGTGCGGTGAGAACGTGATTCGCACGCTCGTTAATTGCTATTAGGATCTTACTGATAGAGATAGTTGACGATCGATGATTTCTCGAGTCTAACTTCCGTTATCCATATATCTATCGAATATACGAATACCAGAATAATTTGTATTCAAACTATTCGATCGAAAAAAGTAATAGACAAAACAATTTTTTAATTGTATTCGCCATAAAATGTTTTCAATATTCACACGTATTATTCAAAATCTTTCTTACAAGCCTTAAATTAAATAATTTAACAATTACTTTGTGCTTTATAAATTCGCATATTTATAATACATACAAATACACATACAAATTATAGATCTAAATATATAAAACGTTATCCGGATATGAGTTTTCATTCGAAACCGAAAACTATACGTAATTACACGTATTTGTATCTCCATCGACGATTGTCAGCGACGCATGTCGACAAATTCAGCGCAATCTGCTGCCACGACAAAACATCGACGCGAGAGCCATTGTCCAATTTAACTGGAGAGCTGGCACGAAGGGGTTGCAGGAGAATCAGGCGTCCCTTTTGCAGGGTTCGGCTACGCAACGTCGCAACAATTATATGGATTACGTTGAGTATACGTCAAGTACTCTCTCTTGACAAGACACGATTCCGAGAAATATATAATTCACGAAATATTATAATATTTATACGTAATAAATGTGAGAAATAACGTGCAATTTATAAATAAGATTCTGTAAATAAAAAATTCCACTCATCAATCTTTTTAATCAGAATAATAATAAATTTATTCTGAAAAAACTGTCACGACTTTGATTAATAATAATTTATTTTGTTATATTAAACGTGATAATTGTTACTAGATATGAAAAAAACTCATTTTATGGAAATAATAAGTTTTAATAACGGAAATAGATAATCTTGAAAATTAAAGTTTATTTCAATTTTAAACTCAATATAAGTTTGGTTGGCAAAATATTTAATTGCAATTATCTTAAAAAGCCATTATTTTTAATTTAATTATTTCACTTGCTTATTGCCCACTGCTTGTCTTTCATTCTCACTATAATATATGTTATAACAAAAACGACGCAAACTTTGCAATTAATGACTGTGATGAATTGTATGCGATTATATGCTACATATCTCTGCCATAAAAACCCGCGATCCATTCGACCAAAATTAACGAAACTTTAGAGAGAGACTATAGGGAAGTTGAATATATTTTTCAATTAAACGTTGGAAATTATTATAGATCGATTCGAAATTGCAAATTCAAAAAAAAAGATAATCCACTCACTGCTTCGTTTTCAATACTGAAAATGAAAGCAGATGAAATAAAATATTTAGTAATAAAAAAAATTGATATTGTACATATGTAAATAAAAGACTAAAAAAACGAAAGAATAGCAATAACAATATAACATGAGAGAGAGAGAGAGAGAGAGAGAGAGAGAGAGAGAGAGAACTACCACT